TGCAGAGACAGAAGGAATACTGAAGTGAAGAGTTTGTTTAGAGAGGGAGGGTTTTTGTTTCATTTTGTTTTCTGTTCTGTCCCATAATCTCATCTAGGATGCCACATTTAGTCTTGATTCTTTACCTTACCCACTACTCTCAGGCAGGGAGTGTGTCCCAGAAATGGACTGGCAATAAAACTGAGGCAAGGGGCTTAAACTGTATCAGAGGGATATTGTTTGGGTTTTTATCTGTATTAAAAGGCTTTTGTTTTGTTTTGTTTTGTTTTGTTTTTCAAGAGGTTTTTGCCTTAGGGTATGTGTGCTGGGTGTGGGTGTAGGAGAGACAGTGAGAGGGAAAGTGAAAACTCACCCCCTAGAGGATATGGCCATGCTACAATCCCCCACAATTCCTTTCAAGTCACCAGGCCTGGAGCTTGAACAGTGGTTAGCCATGTGGGAGTCCAACTGACATAATCAAGCCACCAGGTCTGGGGCTCAAAAAGTGGTCAGCCATGTGGGAGCCCAGTGATGTAACCGCTACACCACCTGCTGGCCCCCGGGCTTCTTGTTTTTATTTAGGCTTGTTCTGTCTCTGAGAAGCTGACTTTGTGTGAGAAGAGAAAAGTCACTTGCAGAAGGACTGGCTATCAAGTCCACATTCCATCGTTTGCAACTCAACCTTCTAGCTGATCTGTAAAATCTGAATAGAAAAATCACAGTAGAAAGAGAGCATGGAGATAGGCTGTGATGGATCTAACAAGCTGTAAAACAACTCTGATTGTAAGAAACTCTACATGAGTAATAAGTCAGAGCCAATACTTGATTTTTAGTGAGAGTAGTGAATAACCTCAACAGTTTGACCAGAGTGACTCCATTTTATAAGTTGGTTCTAACTTTATATATATATGTGTACATTTCCTACCCTAAGGTTTGCATCATTAATTCTATGTTTGCTGCCTCTTGCTTTGCTTAGTAATATTGATGTTGGAAACTATGATACAGGAAGTTGGGGTTTATGGGCCCAACACCCAATGTCTCACATTCACGAAGAATTAGAGATGCAGAGACAGAAGGAATACTGAAGTGAAGAGTTTGTTTAGAGAGGGAGGGTTTTTGTTTCATTTTGTTTTCTGTTCTGTCCCATAATCTCATCTAGGATGCCACATTTAGTCTTGATTCTTTACCTTACCCACTACTCTCAGGCAGGGAGTGTGTCCCAGAAATGGACTGGCAATAAAACTGAGGCAAGGGGCTTAAACTGTATCAGAGGGATATTGTTTGGGTTTTTATCTGTATTAAAAGGCTTTTGTTTTGTTTTGTTTTGTTTTGTTTTTCAAGAGGTTTTTGCCTTAGGGTATGTGTGCTGGGTGTGGGTGTAGGAGAGACAGTGAGAGGGAAAGTGAAAACTCACCCCCTAGAGGATATGGCCATGCTACAATCCCCCACAATTCCTTTCAAGTCACCAGGCCTGGAGCTTGAACAGTGGTTAGCCATGTGGGAGTCCAACTGACATAATCAAGCCACCAGGTCTGGGGCTCAAAAAGTGGTCAGCCATGTGGGAGCCCAGTGATGTAACCGCTACACCACCTGCTGGCCCCCGGGCTTCTTGTTTTTATTTAGGCTTGTTCTGTCTCTGAGAAGCTGACTTTGTGTGAGAAGAGAAAAGTCACTTGCAGAAGGACTGGCTATCATGCTGAGGTGAAATCCAGCTCATTGACAAGCTTATTGCTGCTCAAAAGGGGCTTACAGGAAGTGAGGTGCCTGCAGGGAGTGCTGCTATAGAATGGGGGAGTTGAGCTGCAGGGTGTAAAATCCTAGGTTCTTTAGGTCCAGATCGCTAAGAGACCTGTCCTGAGATGCAGAATGAAAAATCTTAAACACATGTAAAGTAGAAAAGTTTTTGTTTTTTTTTTTGAGGTTTTTGCTATAGGGCGCGTGTGCTCCCCAGAAAGACAGAGAGAGACAGAAAGCGAGAAATCACCCCCCAGGGGGGATGGCCATGCCACAATCCCTTCTCCTCCACCATCCCCTCGGGATCTTGGACACGCACGCACACGTGCCCAGCATGAGTTTAAGCCACTGGGTCCGGGGTTCGAACCACAGTTGACTCTGTGTGAGCAAGTAGTCAGAACCAATACTTAATTTTTATTGAGAGTAGTAAACAACCTTCCCAAAAGTTTGACCAGAGTGACTCCATTTTATAAGTTCACTCTACCTTAATATACGTATGTGTTCATTGCCTATCATAGTGACTCTTCCTTGGGAGTTCCCTGCCCTATTTACCTTCTCCCTGGGTCTGTGTCCTGTCTCATTATGTAGTGCCAAGATTTTAGTATTTTTTTAAAAATTTTTTGGTTTTAATTAACTAATTTACATTCATTTACTGAGCATTGTCGCAGCATAAAAATATGATTTCCCCTCCAGAATATGCTGCATAGTGCTTAATCGTACATGTTATTGTCAATAATTTTCCATTTCTAGTTTCATAATATATATGTATATATAAATATATTTCCCCCTATTTCTCACCCTCTGCCATTTCCCACCCTCCTCCCACACTATCTCAGGTGTCCACAGTTGTTTTCCATTCCCTTTTCCCCCACATTTTATTGATTCACAAAATTTCTTAATCTAACTACTTTCAATAGCAAGCTCTGCTGATATATACATATCTATGAATACATATCTGACTTTAGGCATGAAACTCTGAGTAGAATGAATATACTATAAGGTAGCACCTAGCTGATGCTATATAATTTACTACAGTCATTAATTATGTATTTTTTACTATATTTTTTAATGTCAAGAAAAGCATATTTAGCTTTAATAAGTCAAATAAATGCTATGGAAATATGCTTAAAACTTAAAGCCAGGAAACAGGTTGGGATTCTGTTCAAATAGTAGGTACATGAACCTATTAGCCGCTCAAGACAAGACAAAAGTCCTTAAAACCAAAACCTAGAAGAAAATCAGCAATATTTTAGTCAAAAGTCGTAAAATTCTATTTCACCAGTTCAGTCTCACGTACTTAATCTATCTTCTGTTGTGGTTTGATTTTCCCAATTAAATCCTGGGATATAATATTCAACTCCAGACTCATCCCCATGATTAAGTTAGCCATTTTCTTAATTTTTGAACTCTTGTTTCTGTGTCATTGTGTTTATTTTTTCCTTGTATAGCACTACCTGCAGAACTTCTTGGAGATCTGGTCTGGTTTGGTAAATTCTTTCAGGTTTTGTTTATCTGAGAATGTTCTTGTCTTTTCTTCCCATATGAAGGATAATCTTGCCGGGTACAGTATCCTTGGTTCCTTTTAATACTTTCAAGGGAGGTTTTGACTTCCTGTATTATAGTCTTCATCTGTAACAGGTCCATTTGATTCTTTTTGATAGTGTGAATTTCCTCTTTTAGATCTTGCAAGAATTTCCTCACCTCCTGAAGCTCATCAGCTTCTTTCCCCTGCCTCTTCAGCACTTCATTGTCTCTCTTCTCTTCAATCTCTGTGAGCTCTGTCACCATGAAAATTCTAAATTCTTTATCTGACATTTCCATGAATTTCATCATACTGTCTGAGGATGAAGAGGAGTTAATTATTTTTCCTTGGAGGAGAGGTATTTTCTTATTTTTCCATATTTCTTGTGACCCCGCAGTGATTTCTAGTTATCTGGTGCATTTCTTCTAATTCTTGAAGTTCAGTCTGAGTGTTCAGAAGTGTGCATGAGGAGGTGTTCTGCAATCTCTCTTCCATTCCGTTCTCGCTCTTTGTGCATCAGAATCAGTGGGAACAGAGGAATATTCCGACCCAATTGTATTCAGGTGTTTAGGTCCTGTTCACATGGACCTGTCTAGACATTTAATGTGTAGGAGCTGAGAAGCCAATGAGTAAAGATAAAGAAAATGAAAAGAATTAGAGAAAAGGAAAGAAGAAAATATAAAAGAAAAAGAAAAAAAAGATAATAAAAAACTATAGATTTTAATTTTTAAAAGCAAAAATAGAAAAGCATGCTGCATGAAAGTACTATTTTACAGCTGAAGTTCAGGATCCATGTGGAGATGGGCCTGGGTTTGTGCCTTTCCTAAACAGAATGGGGAGAAGCACCTATTAACACAATAAAGGGGCTTGAGAACCTAGAGAATACTTTGCCAGAAAATCTTAATTTTAAGTCTTTGAAAGCAATATTTCACGGCTGAAGTTCAGGATCCAGGTGGCAGATTTTAGCATTTTAAAAACAAAGTTTTAATTTATAATTAACAGTACATTTCAGTGATTTTCTACAGTGGAAACAAACATACACACTATCTTTTTTAAAGAATTATTTATTTAATTTCATTTATCATTATTATTATTTTTTAATTTGCTACAAGGCATGCATGTTCACCAGAGAGAGAGACAGAGAAAGAGAGAGAGAGAGAGAGACTTCTTTGTTCTGAGCCATAAAATGTCAATACCCGTTGTCTTCGGAACTCTCCCTGCTCTGTACATGGCTGACTTTTCTATATATCTTTATATCCATCTGTTTTATATATATATATATATATATATTTTTCTTTTTGGAGAGGTTTTTGCTATAGGGTGCATGCACCCACCATAAAGACAGAAAGAGACAGAGAGACAGAAAGTGAGAAATTGCCCCCTCCCCCCAAGGGGGACGGCCACGCCGCAATCCCTTCTCCATTCTCCTCTCAGGATCTTAGGCATGCTGGAACACATGCCCAGCATGAGTTTAAGCCATGGGTCCAGGACTGGAACTGTGGTCGACTACATGGGAGTCTAGCAACATAGCCATTACACCAACTGCTGGTCCCTATTTTTTCATATATATATATACACACACACACATATATATATATGTATGTATACATATATACATATGTATGTATATATGTATGCATACATATATACACACACACGCAATTGAAGTATTGAAATCCAATGGAGAAGGTGATTATGCATATTATTAACTCTATTCAGATTCAAGAGATGATTAACCATATTTTGTCTTTTGCTTTATCCTCAGCTGGAAAGGCAACTAATGATGCAAAATGAAATGAGAGAAAGACAAATGGCTATGCAGATTGCTTGGTCTCGGGAATTCCTCAAATATTTTGGAACTTTTTTTGGTATTGCAGCCATCTCTTTAACAGCTGGGTATGCTATCTATTTACTTAAAATTTTTTCTTGACTAATTCAGTGCTTTTTTCTTTGCCATTGTCATGTTAAGATGGCCAAGATAAGACTTTTGTCTACACTGTATAGGTAAAAAATTAATCTTTTGTAGTTTAGTCCTTAGGAGTAACTCTGTAGAACCATGGTAGTAATAGTTAATTCTGCTTTTAGTTTCTTAGATTTATTCTGTCCTTTTCTCCACTTTATAAGTTAGAAAGAGGACTTACTTGACACCAAGATAAAAAGCCCTCTACAAGTTATCTCCTCAATTCCTAGGTGGTAAATATTAATCCTTACCCATTCTAAAAACAGGGAATCTGAGCCTTAAAGTTAAAGAAAGATGAGCAAGTTATAGTCTTGCCACTGAGAACTGCAGAATCTGGTATAGATTATTAGGTAAGAAAATCCTATTTTTATAGAAGACCCAAATGAATTAAGTAACTTCTGTAATGGAGACATTCTTCCAAAAATTATTTTTCTTTAAGTATAGAGATATGTATGCAAAGAGTATTCTTTAATACTGTTTTTCTTATTGTTGTTGTTTTTAAAACAGAGCAATAAAAAAAAAGAATCCAGCTTTCTTCTTTCCTATTGTTCCATTAAGCTTTATCCTCACCTACCAGTATGACTTGGGCTATGGAACCCTTCTACCAAGAATGAAAAGTAAGTTTTTGATAAACCAGAGTTTCTATTTCCTGATTCATTTCCTGGTTCAAAAAGCCCCTCCTCTGACCCCTTGACTTATGAAAATTCTGACAAGACCCTTTCTCTGAGCCTCCAACGTCCAATATTTATGTGCCCTCTGACACAGTAGTATCTGGAGCCAGCTCATACAAGCTCTATAGAGTCAACTGTTAAGTTTCATGAATTTTCTAAATTGGTTGTTTGACATAATTAATTAATTAAAAAGTATTTTTTAAAAGGTGTACTTATTTTTTCCTATAAGAAAGACAGAGAGAGAGAAAGACAGAAAGGCACTCCCTTTATACCAACTCCATTCCCAATCTCAGCTGACTTACATCACAGGCATACATAAGCATTGTGTACTCAGGGAGGCCCTGGGACATGAATCCAGGACCTCTTCCATGTGGGCCAGTTACAATACCACTGTACTACTTGGCTGATTTAATTAATTAAATTAGAATTCATCAGGAAACTTACCATATTAGAAAGTTTAGGTTATACTCAGCCTGGTGTCTCAGTTGGTAGCAAAATGAACTATAGTGCTAGAAGCCACAGGCCAATCCAGGGTTTGGATCCTGGGTTGGCTTAAAAACATGCCTGGTATGTACACACATCTCCCAAATCCTGACAAGATGGAGGGCCTGGGAAGAGGATTATGGTGTGATGAGATCGTATTGAGGATGCTTCTATTATGAATCAAATAAACTTTAAAAAAAGAAAATTTATGTTGTAGTTTTTTCCCATATTAATAATGATGGTTCCAAAATATATAGTATTTATTTGGCTGAATTTATCATCGGCCATCCCATAAACCCACACTGAGAATTGCCAATATGCAAGGCAATCGCTCATGGAAAACAACTGGTTTAATCAGTATCCTACCTAATTATGTCACTTTATAATGATATTTACTTACTATTTAAGACTGAAGCAAAAAAAAAAAAAAGAAAGAAAGGTGTTTGCAGAGAGTCAAAGTGCTCTTATAATTTGATAACTGTAGTCTGCTCTGTTGCGTTTGATATGCAATTAATAATATGTTAAAAGGGGAGTACATGTGCATGCCCCAAGTGCAAGTGCATGCCCCAAATCCCAAGGAGAATGGAGAAGAGACTGTGGCATGGCCACCTCCCATGATAAAAAGTGATTTCTCACTTTCTCTCTCTGCCTCTCTCTGTGTCTCCAGTGAGCACAGATGCCCTATAGCAAAAATTTCTCTCTAAAGAAAAGAGAAATACTTATATAAAGGATTAATCAACATTCCCAAGGCAGGTTTATAGCATATCAACAATGTATATAATAATATAATTAATTGTTTTGTTAATTAGTGTTCAACAATAAAAGATGGTTAATGATTGGTCTCAAGAAGTTACTACACTGTCTAGCTACTGCTAAAAGAGGAATTGTTATAAAAATGTGTGTATGTATACAAATTTAGGAGCATTTAATATTATTTTGGATATTTATAAGTGATTTTGGGTTAAAGATTAGCTTTCCTGAGAAATTAGAATTTTTAGTAAACTTTATTTTCTCTTGTCACATATTAAAGGGCAATAGGAAAGACTACATGTGGTTTCCCCATCCTAAGATGATCCAAACAATTAATACTGATCATTCTGACTTTGGTTTAATGGGGAAAAATTACTTATGGTGTTTTATAAAATAACTTGGTGTTCTTTCTCATCTACATTTTAAAATGCTATCTTAAAAAAGAAAAAAATCCCTGGCATCTTTTTGTCTGAGTTTTCAGAATTCATCACTGTATTTCCTCTTGGAGGTGCATTAATTTTCCTGCAGAAAACGAGTGAAATCTTTAACTAGGAGGTTTGGGGACATAGCTGTGTATGTGTTATATCTTGTCACTAAAATATAGAAATCAGGACTCCTCACAAAATGTGGACAACCTCTTAGTCACCTTATGTATCTCTGCACTTTATTTAAGGTGAAGCTGAGGACATACTGGAAACAGAAAAGAGTAAATTGGAGCTACCAAGAGGAATGATCACGTTTGAAAGTCTTGAAAAAGCCAGAAGGGAACAGAGTAAATTCTTCGTAGACAAGTGAAATTACATTACCCACCAACTCTCAAAGCACAGAACTATTGGTCTGAATCATGGCTTTTACAATTTTGTAAATGGTTAAGATTTTGATATAATGATTTTATATTAAAATGCAAGATGAATTTTGCTGAATTTTGAGTTGAGTTTTGTTGAATTTTGGAATTCTTAGAAGCGAATGTCCTATTTCCCTCATTTCTCTGTCACACATAACTTTCCATATCACATTCAGCTCCCACAGATGTTTTTATTTGGATTTGTCAATTGTATCCTGTCTCTACATGGCAAAAAACAACTAAAACTAATAACTAATGTGTATATTGCACTTATTATGGTTGGCACTGTTCTGAGTGGTTTGTATATATTCTTACAATCATCACAAAATTCCATGGAGCAAGCATCATTTTAGGAATCTGAAAATTAAAGCACAGAGAGTTTGAGTTACTTGCCCAAACTTATGAGGCAGGTATCATTTTGGGTATCTGGAAACCAAAGTGAAAAGAGGTTAAATTACTTGCTCAAACCCATACATTGGCAGAGCTATTTGAACCTATGATAATTTGGTTCCAATGGCTGTGCTCTAAAAGACCTTGAAAATATTAGGCATCAACTCATTATTAACATGCAAAGAACATCTGTGAGAGAAAAAAGGTAATAACATTCAAATAACAACTTGACATAGTTGCTAGAAAAGTGAGGAGGAGGGGAGGTTGATTAGGATAATCACCTTTTTATATGAACTCACTGGGACGCCTATGTTCATAAAATACTCCATTCCTCCAGATATATACCTTATACAACATATATGTTGTAGCCAGCAGATGGTATAGTGGTTATGTTGCTGGACTCCTATATGGCCAACCGTGGTTCAAGTCAGACCTGGTGGCTTGAAACACATGCCAGGTGCATGTGTGTGTGTGCCAAGATCCCGAGAAAAGAATGGAGGAGAAGGGACTGAGGCATAGTCATCCCCCCCAAGGGATGATTTCTCAATTTCCCTCTTACTATCTCTGTCTCTGTCTCTCTCTCTCTCTGGCAAGCACACTCTAAGGCAAAAACTTCTACCAAAGGAAGAAAAAAAACATAATATGCTCATGCTAAAGATATTCATTAGTACCTACTATGTACCAGACATTGCATAAGCACTACTCACCTATATCATCAGGTGAGTAGACAAGGAAGAGGAACATGTTTTAGTAAGAGGTGGGATAATTGGCAAAGGCAACAAATAAACATGAAGATAAACAAAACTGGTTCTGATGGTGACAAACTCTTCAGTGGAAGTGAAAAAGAATAAGAGAATGACTGAAGTGAAAAAGAATGAGAGAATGACTGAAAGGATGAGCTACTTTATATCTAGGATCACAGAGATTGTCTCTTGGAGAGGTAGCATTTGAGCTGAGACCTGAATGATGAATGAATCAGTCCTTTAAAGAGCAGGGTGTAGGGGGACCAGCAGTTAGCGTAATGGCTACGTCGCTGGACTCTCATGTAGTCAACCACAGTTCGAGTCCTGGACCCGGTGGCTTAAACTCACGCTGGGCACGTGTGCATGTATGGCCAAGATCCCGAGAACAGAATGGAGGAGGAGGGATTGTGGCATGGCCATCCCCCCTGGGGGGGTGATTTCTTGCTTTCTGTCTCTCGGTCTCTCTCTGTCTCTCTGGCGAGCTCACACACCCTGTAGCAAAAACCTCTCTTAAAAAAAAGCAGGGTGTATTGGGGGTTGGTGTGGTGGTTAAGGTCCTGGACTCCTATATGGCCAACTGCAGTTCAAGTCCCAAACATGGTGACTTGAAAATCATGTCTGGCAAGTGTGCGTGTGTACCCAAAATCCCAGGAGAAGAATGGAGGAGAAAGGATTGCAGTGTGACCATCCCCCCTGGGGGGGAGTGATTTCTCACTTTCTCTCTCACTGTCTCTGGTGTCTCCAGCAAGTGCACATGTCCTACAGAAAAAAATCTTTAAAAAAAAAAAAAAGGGCTGGGCATGGGGATAGAAAAGAGATCTCTAGGCAAAAGAAGGAGATAGGGAAGAAAAAGAAAGGCTCTGAGACTTGGCATGGCCAGTGAATAGAAAGATGTTCAGGAATAACAGTAGGAAATATTAGGTTGTTGGGAAAGCCATGATGCATTTTTGCATAGAAAAACATACAAAAATACATCATGACTTTCCCAACAACCTAATAAAATCTGAAGGTGGAAACGAGAAATCATGGTATGCCTACCCTCAAGTAGTTGATGACATACCAACACGTGGCTTTGATATAATTATAGTTGTAGATAACTTTGGGCCAAGTCTTTAAGGATGCATAGGAGTTCTCCATGAAGACAAGATGAAGAGGAGGGTTGTCTTAGGCAGAAGAAGCAGCTTGAACTAAGGCAGGACCAAGCATGCCAAATCCAAAGAGTTTCTGCCAGTCATTCAGTTTGACGAGGGCAGGGGGGGTCTTTACATGGGGAACTTGTTAAGAAAGTGGTACAATTCAACTCCTAAAGGGATTTGGATGTAAAATCAAGGAGTTTGGACTCTTTTCTAAGGGTTATTACAGTGAAAGAAACTGAATTGGGATTTCATCAGGATTAGTAGATTAGAAAGATCCCAGAGCATAAGAAATGAGGAACTGAACTGGTCCACCTGGGTGGTCACCAGGACCTGAATTAAATCTATGGCCTTTGAGATGGATTCAGGAAAATTAAAGAAAAAAAAATTAGCAGGATTAGGAATCCAGTTTGAGGTCATGGAGGAAAGAGAAGGTGATTTCCGTTCATTTAATCCACACAGACTTTCTGGGGCCTCTACAGAACATGGAGAAAAAGTGAATGGGAGGCATACTGATGGAATAATGAATGCCTAAAATCTAAAGCTGGTTTGTAGACTATTCTAGAATCTGGAATTATATTTTGTTTCCTTTAAATTCAGTCATGCTATACAAATGTTCCTAACATAGAATGGGTTTGAGGGCCCGATAAAGGCAAACTGGTTACAGATCTCACGTGGGATTTATGTTGCTATGCAATACAGCCAGGTCCTTGATTCCTCTGGACCATCATGCTACTCATTTATATTTGTTTCCCTTGCATTGACAATGAATTCATTAATAATTCTAACAGAATTGAACCCCTGCTGAAAAACATACTCACATGCACTCAACATTCATACTTGTGTTTGTTCCCACTTGCATAGTGAGGCAAAAGACAAAGCAGAGAGCAGGATTAGGAATCCAGTTTGAGGTCATGGAGGAAAGAGAAGGTGATTTCCGTTCATTTAATCCACACAGACTTTCTGGGGCCTCTACAGAACATGGAGAAAAAGTGAATGGGAGGCATACTGATGGAATAATGAATGCCTAAAATCTAAAGCTGGTTTGTAGACTATTCTAGAATCTGGAATTATATTTTGTTTCCTTTAAATTCAGTCATGCTATACAAATGTTCCTAACATAGAATGGGTTTGAGGGCCCGATAAAGGCAAACTGGTTACAGATCTCACGTGGGATTTATGTTGCTATGCAATACAGCCAGGTCCTTGATTCCTCTGGACCATCATGCTACTCATTTATATTTGTTTCCCTTGCATTGACAATGAATTCATTAATAATTCTAACAGAATTGAACCCCTGCTGAAAAACATACTCACATGCACTCAACATTCATACTTGTGTTTGTTCCCACTTGCATAGTGAGGCAAAAGACAAAGCAGAGCTTTTCAGTAACAGCCTTACAATTAAATTATAGTAAAACATATCCCAAATGTCCTTGGCACTGCCAATTATTCAAAGCTTTTCTCCTTCTTAATATCACAGTACCTTTTTATTGAAAGGACAAATATTCTGCTGTGATACTCTTGAGCAATTTCCTAGACATTTATGTTAATTAATACCTGTATACACTTATTATTATTACGCCCTAGTTATCAACCATACAGCTTACTTTTTCAACTACTAAACCTTGTGATCTTTGTTTGGCTGGCTTATAATCATCACATGTTTTTGTGATAGCACAAAAAGAATGAGGAAGTAAATATGAAAAAGCACATTAAGAGAATAAGAAACTAAGGTCTCATTATGAACAAAGATTTAGAGCCTCAAATAATGGTAACTTTACCTAGTGTCTTTGTCAATAATTAGAAATAAAGTTGGGGGAAAAAATCTTATCTCCACTTCATGTGATTGCCCGCTTCTCAAGACACTGCTTGCCCAATCAAAGCAACACAGAGACTCCCCTAGGTGTAGCTGGAGTCCACATGGTTAAAGGATATAAATATGGGTACCGAAATTCCCTGGAGCAGAAAGATCATTCTGGGAAATCAGTTTATAATAATAATAAGGCAGTTTATGACACTGTAGTACTTAAGTATTTTAAATGTTTTAAATTCATATTTAAATGAGAGGACTATTCTCACGGTTTAAATTAAAATGTGTCATGTCTAGAATTACAAATAAATCAAGTTTATATGGTATTCCACCTAATTCAGTTTGCACTGTGGATAGTGTTGATGATTTCTTTATGGTATGATAATTATTGCACTTTGAGAAGACTATAGTAGTACTCATAAGCTACTAAAAGCATTTTTAATGACAAATACTAAAATTATAGTAAAAATGTTATAAATGGAAGGAAGATCCTTAGACATAGGTCTCATGTAGGCCCTTATTTTATAGTTGAGACAATAGGGGCCCTTTGTGATTTACCTAAAGCTTTATATCTGGTAAAGGTAGTTTGCACTAAAACCTTGGTGTTTAGTATCCCTGGCAAGATTCTTTTCAATGCAGCATACTGCCTGACACTGAGAGATGGACTTGATGCCACAATCTTTCAGCCTCCATAGGTTTTTGCCATAGGGCAGGCTCTACCACGCCCTGCCTGACACTGAAAGGATAGTGATAAAGTCAAAATTAAAAGTAACTCCAAAAAAAATCACTGTGTTACTAAGAGCTATAGTAAGTGTTCAAGGGTAGAGTTAGAAGAAGATGGGGAACGAACAGGCTGGTACTGTAAAAATAATCTACAACCAATATAATCTAAAAATGAATCATCTGAAATTGAGAATATATTTTATAGACTTCAACAATTTTAATATGTGAATACTGAAATGTGATATTCTAGAAAATGTAGCTGGAATCTGCGTACTTT